TCAGCGCACCCATAAAGATATGGCTTCCTATTGGATCATACTAACAGCAGTCACGGTGACGTCGTGACAAAAGTAGGCACGTGCCATGACCAAGTCAAGTCCAACGAACGTCATCGTCCCTACCAAAGAGCCTCTTCGTTCTCTTGATATGGCTGCTCATCTGCCCCGTGCTCTGCCTCGTGCTCATGGCCTGCGCGAGTACCGCCGCATGTTCTTCTATGAGCTCGCTGCACTGCTTCCTTGCCCTTGTACAGCTGGCGTGACGTCTGTACAACGTGAGTCCGCGACTTGTATCGTGTCTTTGCATAATGCCCTCCATCTAATCAGCGCATCGTTAGCGCACCGACAGTTCCCACCTCGTGACCATGTTTGAAACCGCCGCGATCGTCTCTCTCCGCCTCAGGAGAGGTCGAGGTCAGATGCGCCGCAATCGGACCAAACTTGATTGGATGCCTCCCTTCATCCGTCGGAGGACGGCGCACACATACTGCCTACTCGTAGTCACCCACGCGCAGACATATCATAGTGCACTCACAACCACCCCCACCCCACCCTGGCCAGCTTCGTTCCTCGCATTCCGTGCATTCCTCACCGCGCATTACCCACCGCGCATTACCCGCGCCACGTCGCTGCCGCTAGCGCTGACGTACCCCATGTACGACAAACCTCTCGGAAACGCACACGAGATTCATATCTTTTGTTTGTTTTTAAACAACCTACGTACTCAGACCCGTACCCTTTCTGTGGATTTCGCGTCCAGGTGATGCAACGTGTTGTTGTTTTTCTTCCTTCTATTTATTTTCTTCTCGTTTTCACTTTTCACTGTGTTGTTTTTTCCTTCTTTCTCCCTCCCCTTTCATGCACGCGCCTCGTGCTCGACACGAGTGCGATTTTGTTCGACGTCGGATGTGCAGGTGTTCAGTCAGTCGCCCCGGTCGCATTTATTTTACCCGTCGTTTATCCTTGTGGGACAATTGGATGTATTGCCGCCGTCACCTTGTCTTGTCCTTCGCCACATTCGTTTTCTCTTCATATTTCTATTTTCTCCCATTGTCCCTTCATCGACGGCCCTTGCACTTACTCAAGTATATATTCAGGCATTTACAATACATACCCTCACTCCTTCATACGAGACTGAGGGTACGTCAC